CATCACCAAAGGATCAGCCTTTTGCTGAAATTTGATTCTTGGGAGATCAGAATGCTTTCTTCTGGATATATCACGACTTCTCCACTCCCCTTCCCACAGAGGGAGCCCCAAGTTTCTTCCCAGCACTTGCTTTTAATTGAGTCTCATGGAAAATTTCCACCAACATCCCAGGGGGATGTGAGTGTTTAAATAATATATTAATCTATATAACAAAATGCATTATAATTATACACTAAGCAACATGTGTGTATGTATGCATATGTAAATGTTAAAAACAACAGAACTATATTATAATCATGCATAGATGATGTATTTTTTTTGTGTGTGTGTTTTATCCCATGAAAACACATTGTAATCATAATCCTTGTAAGGATTTTGGAGAATTAAAGGATCTGAGTATTTTATATTCATTGGAAATTTGTTCTAAAATTAAATCTTGCAGGTTTGCTGCATCTTAACTTTCTTGTCCAGAGAAGTGGACATTGCCATAAAGCCCCTGTATGAGGATAAACAGGCAGAAACAAATGTGAAGAATTGTAGAATGTAGGTCTTTGGGGTCTTGGGGAGCTACTATTATTATCTAAAATGTTTCTGCTTTCAAGGCATATTATAAGATCAGGATTTCTTATGATTCCCGTATCGCATGGACGTCCTTCTACAAACGCAGGCACGCCTAGCTTTAGATGCATTTACAAATAGATTTCCATCGCACCAAAGTTAAAAAGAAAACCAATTCAATAATGGTTTGACCGCTGAAGTATCCAAATCTGCCAGAATTATCGTACATCATCTTTGACTCTACCAAGAAGTGGAGTTTCAGAATGTAACCATAGGATCAAATCGTGATGAATATTTTAAAGTCGATTGGTGGGGAAAAATGTACTAAGTGCTTTTATACCAAGTTGGCCAATTCAAAAAGGCTCTCATTGCAAATAAAGGTGATATCTGAAGTCCTTCCTTGAGTGTGCCAAGAGGCAAGTTGCCTGGCTCCTGGGGAGATAATGTTTGCAGAGAGGGCATCTTTTCCAAAGGTTGCAGAGTGCGATTCCTAAATGAAGTTATTATTCAGCCATGATGATAGAAAATATAATAAACAGCTTTGGCCGATGAACAGAAACAGCTGAAGAAGGGAAGAGCCGATCTGATCTTAGTGAACTGAGATAGACTCCAACCATCCATGCCTGGGTCATTTGGCTTCATAGCTCTGCTACTCTCTTTGCATCATGGTGCCAAAAGTTTTGACTTTATTTTTAATTTTCATTTACTTATCAATTGGAGTTCTTAACTCCAAAGACGCATCCTCGTGGTGATGTTTTCTACGACCAAATTATTACCATGATGTTAAATCAAACGGTGGACAGTGTTCTCTCCTACAATGTGAGTTGCCACAGTCAGTTGCCCTTGGTGGGAACATTAGAGTACCATCCATTTGTGAAAGGATTTGGACAAAACCTTAAACAAGTGTTTCTTGGGTTTCCTGGCATTTCAGATTTTCCTGATTTTTTTTTTAATGATCTTCTATGCCTTAGATCTCCAGCTATAATTTTGAGCTCTACTTTCTCCTGCTAATTTTTCTTTTAGAAAAACTCAAGTCCTTTCTCAGTAAGAGCTAGACACAGCTTAATGGGCACAGAGATGGCAACTTCATGTATTGATGGTAGAATTCTAGAGGCTCAATATTCTCTCAGAGCTGTTTGGAGCGGAAGACCTCTTGAAACTCACTGGAATCCAAGTTAGCCCTGACTTAGGTCCACTATTCCGGTAGTGAAAATAAGCATGGTTTTCTCTATGCCAGTGCTTCCAACTGGCACTCATCTTAGTCTTTCATCCATTGCTGTAACAAAATCCCTGAGACTGAGTACGTTGTAGAGAAAAAAAAAGTTCATTTAGTTAATAGTTCTGGAGATGTAAGGGCACAGGACTGGCTTCTGTTTGACTCTGTTGTGACTTCTGGCCATATCACAACATGGAAGACAGCATGGCATGAGCATGTTCAAGAGGGAGAGAGTCATATGGAAAAATAAGAGCGAAGAGATATTTAGAGGTCAGACTTTCTCCTTTTGTAACAACTTGCTCTAACATGAACTAATCAGGCTCCCTTGAGAAGAGCATGAATCTCTTCTGAGGACAGTGACCTCAGTGGCCTAACCCGTGTCCCCTAGTCCCCACCTCTTAAAGGTCCAACCACCTCTTGACGTCACCACACCGGGAACTAAGCTTCCAATGCAGGAGACTTTGGGGAACACAATCAGTTCCTGTCAGAACCACAGCAGCATCCTAATTCTGCCCTGGATCTCTGTCCCAATCCCAAGATGGTGACGAACAAGGACCATCTCTATTCTTTGCACAATCCTAGATCTGCACTAGAAATATTAGTTTCACTTTTCTTCCCACCCAACCCAGGGCCTTCTCTGCATCTGAGGGAGAGGTGACCAAACCCCAGGGGCAGAGCCGGGTAAGGGGAAAGGCAGGAGAGGAATCCTGCTGGGGAACCTTTCTCTTTCTTGGCAATCATGGCCCAAGCCCTGGCCGCTAACGCTCTGCGTTCCTCTTGCCCTGGTGGGGTGTCAGGGAAAAACCAAAGACAAGGGCATTTTCCTTGTGCTTCATTTTGTTCTTATCTCCAACATCCGAGATGTTTGCACGTTGGCTTTTGCCAGTGGGAAAGGTGATCAACTGGAGCCTTGCGTCGGGTACAACCGGTGGAAACAAAAGAAGCGAAAATTCTGCCCCCAAACTCAGAATTGCCTTGAACAAAGACAAGGTGAAGCAGAAAGATAATCGTAGTTCAGCTCCCTCCGTGCTGGGTGCTGGGGCATGACTCCTGCCTCAGGGATGCGTGGCCTCTCGGGGGATCCCTATGTATAGACACAGGAGTCCACAAAGCAGGCACCTCGTGGAGCAGAGCCTCAGAAGAGGACCGGGGTTTAGACCTGCAGAGAATGGAAGTGACCGTTCAGGGAGAGTGACTCCAGCAAGGTCGTAAAGACCCTTCAGAATGAAGCCTATTGGCAGAGGCCGCCCGTGGGATGAGGAGGATGTTCTAGAAGAGTCTGGAAAGATGATCGGGCTGAACCAGGCCGACGCTGGTTACTCCTTCGGGGTAGGATTTGCCATCAAGGATTTGGGGCAAAGAAATCACAGACTGAGCTTCTCCTCCAGTACTCACTCTGGTGGCCCTGGGGAAGGAGGATGGACTGGAGGTTGGGAGATCAGAAGCATGAAGACGTTTCCGGAGACTGCCCTGGTCACAGTCCAGGCCAGAGCTGGTGCCCAGGGTACCCAGCTCTGAAGGGGATTGAAAAGAGAAGGACTCGACAAGTAGAACAGATGGATCCTAGAGACGGGTTCATGTGAAGCAAGAGTGCAGCCTTGGGTCCCATTTGGTGGGAAGTTGAGCTCCAACCACCAACATTTGGTGGCTTCTACGTTCTCAGGGACCAGACTGTTTTGTTAATCAGACACACAGGATTTATGCTACGACTGTTCTAGAAAAGGTGCTGACTCTGCCGTTTGGATATTTTCTGGGGTAAATGGTTTGGCCCACATATTTGCTTGTTTATTTTTCTGAGCAAATGAAGTCCAGCTGTGGGTTTTGACCTCTCAGGGGTGCTGAGTGGGACAGCGTTCATGAACCCCCCCCCCCGGAGTGGGACATCAACTTCCCAGCATCGGAGGAAATGCCATCAGTCCATTGTAAGTTTCCAAACCAGGTACTGGACCCACAGTTCTTCCAGGCAGCAGAATGAGCTGGGCGTGGTGACACATGTCTGTAATTCCAGTGACTTGAGAGGCTGAGACAGGAGGATCGCAAGTTGGAGGCCAGCCTCAGCAGCTTAGTGAGACTATCTTAGAATAAAGAAAAATGAAATAAGGTTGGGAATGTGTCTCAGTGGTACAGCGCACCTGAGTTAGATCCCTAATAAAAAAAAATAAAAAAAAAAAAAAAGGCAGATGTGAGTCTCCTGTGCTCTTGTATAAGGAGGAAAAGCAGAGATCAAACAGGGAGGATTAGGTGGATTGCCGTAAGAGTCCTTCTGTTCTAAATTAGAACCTTTCTGGAAGAGTTCCATTTCAGGGGTCACTCTTCAAATCTAACTTCTTTAAAACTCACACTGGGCCTTGGCTATCTGATCAGCCTTGATCAGCCTGGTCACTCCCCTGATACCTTCTGCTGTCTCCCCTGAAAATTCTCAGCTTCTACAAATCCCCCCAGCTCAGCCCTTCCACCCCTGCAAGCCCAGAGCAAGCTCGGTTAGCATCCCTCTCACACTTCACCCTCCAAACACACTCCCTCGCCATGCTTGCTTTGCTCATCAATAAAGAGTTCATGGGAGGATAAGAAAGTGAACTGGTTTTGCATTGAGACCTGAGTCAGTCTCCCAGATGGAGGGATTTATGGTTTTTGTGTTAGAGTCAGAGTCGGCAAAGTATAGTTTGTGGGCCGGATCCGCCTCTGGTTTGTTTTAGTACAGCCGGTGGAGCTTGGTGAGAATGGTTTTTACATTAAAAAAAAAAAAAAAATTGGAAAAAAATCCCAAATGAGAATATTCCATCACACCCGAAAATCAGGTGAAATTTGAATTTCAGTGTCCATCACTAAAGTTTTAACGTTCCATCCATAGAAAAGGTGGGGTAATTTATTTCCTGTTCTGAAAGTACTTACAGAATATCTTTGATTTCACCTCTTTCTTGGCCTAAACTTTTTTCTTTTTTTTAAAATCTAACTCTTTATAGAAAAAAAAAATGCAGGTATCAGGTGCTTTCTCTTCTTCCCCTAAAATGTCTGGGTTAAAAACTCTGGTTACAATGAAGAGTTATTTTAAATCCTAGTTCGTGTGTCTACTGTACTGGTTGCTTTCCTATCATTTCCTATTTGATTGTCAAAAAGCCTTATTAAGAATAACATGACGACGTGTTGGTGATAATGGTCCTTTGGGCGTTGGGGCAGGGAGGTGTGAGCACAGCACTGACCGGCCACTTTTTCTCCCCCCTCTTAGGTCACAGGCCTTTCCAGTGCCGCTACTGTCCCTACAGTGCCTCTCAGAAGGGGAACTTGAAGACCCACGTCCTCTGCGTCCATCGCATGCCTTTTGACAACAGCCAGTATCCCGATCGCAGGTTCAAGCGCTCCAGAGTCGACTCGGAGGCTTCAGGGAATTTTGAGGAGCCCGCAGGTCTCAAGGCGGGGAGCTCAGCAGAGCTAACAGAGGAGGTCAGCAAGGGCCAAGAGGAGACCCACTGAGCAGACCTGCTGCACACTGCAATATCATTTTACCCAGTTTTAAGAGGATGCATCTCATAAAAGAGTTTGCTAACTGAATTCCAAGTGGGGGGAAAAAAATCATGTACAACCCCCCCGCCCCACTAGTGTATAGAACATTTAAAAAAAATTTTAAAAGATATCTATATATATATTAAAAAAAAAAATCCCCCAGCCCTTGAACATGGCTGCTAAACTGTTACCCGGCAACAAGTACTTCCAAACAATGCAGGTAGGAGAAAAGTGATTTCAAAAAATAAATAAATAAATAAGCTTGGTGTCCTTCGAGAAAGCTGGGGTCCCTTCCAACTGGAAAGTCGTCTTTGTCCAAAAATAATGCTCTTAACCGAAAAGCGATACCATCTAAATGATTTAACGTTGCCTTGAAGACGGAGGGGGCTGTGTTTTCGTTGTTGAAAACACCTCTATAATCTGACACCAGCTGCTGCCATTTGCCTAGCACCCTAATGAGATGTGTTGGGAGGCAGCTGCGGTGCCAGTCAGGCTGGAGCGGTCACTGCAGAGAAAAATCAATTCACGTGGTGTCGTTCTGCACTCTGGGAGAAACCTTAGACGGCCCGCAGCCAGCGCCAGGGCTGACCGGCACTGCAGAGGATTGCCATCTTAAATGTGCATTTTTTTTTAAAAAAAAAATACACAGCCAAATGAATCAATGGTCAGGAAGTGTCTGCAGACAATTGTCCATTGCAGGCTTGATGAGTAATTCCTTTTTTTAGATCAAATTGCAGTATTGAGAGACATTTTTTTTTCTTGTTGATTTCTTCTTTTTTTTTTATTTTGGATGAAGGTTGATATTTAAAAAAATATATTTTTAAGGGTATATTATACCAAATGCTGTTAGGAAAATCAGCCAACCCTATCCATAAAAAGTGTCGGTGAGAAATGGCAATTATGTCATAACGGAAAGATTGTCTTTGATTATGATTTTTAAAATTTTACTTGAACTTCGAAGGCTGTTCTGGTCCCCCGTTATCAGATTTTTTCCCCCCGTATGTTAGTTTTTATAAGTGTCGCAGACATGAAGCACGATTTTCTTCTCCAGCAAGCACTTATGAAATAGCTTGTATTAAAATATGAATCTAAACATCCTGCTCTCTATCTCTGATGAAGAAAACTGTTTGAGTTAAAATGTCTGTTTTTGTAAAACAAATGTGTTCTATATTTTTGTAGATTTTAGATTTTTCTACTGATTGGATACTCCAAAATTTTATCAAGTTCTGCACCACACAGAGGGAGATTTTGAGGGTCAACAATAAAACACTCATTTTTTTTTTTTTTAGACAGATTTAAGAAAACTAGTCCAAGGTTTATTCTTGAATCCGCACGAACGGTCTAAAAGTTCTGCCTTTACCATATACTTCTTTGAGTGACATGAAATTGGTGCTGTTGCTTGTGATGGTAGAGAAGTATTGAAGTCTTAACTTCTTCTAAAACAGAATCCTTCAGACTTAAAAAAAAAAAAATAGTCAATATTTCCTTGCAGGCTGGGAGCACACAATAAAACCCCAGGGCCTTAAAAACTTTAGCTCTGCCTACAGCAGTTTACAAAAATACTAAACTGCAATCAATGTAAATATAATTCTTAGAGCTATCCTGAGACCAGAAAGAATCTCAGGCTAATAAGGAATCCGGTTTGCATATGCTGTCAAAAGGGTGTCATCTAATGGAGGTTTCAGTGTAAATGAGGTCGATGTGCAACTTGGACCCATCTGGCATAGAGCAGGCTGCTTTCTTGTTTTTCTAGTCTAGTTTTCACTGCCTTACTTAAATCGAGTTGATAAACTTAATGCAACTGTTTCTATGATCCTAGAGAAAGGACTGAAAATGTTATTGAAAACTTTCTGACTGTAGTTAAGCTTTAGGATTTTAACTGCACTACTGTGTTTGGTGACTGTGCCAGTCGCTTGCTTTCTGTGTGTTTGCCCCGCCTTTGGTATCTTAGCAAAGAAAAATTTAAAAAAAAAAAAAAAAAAAAAAAAAAAAAAAAAAAAAAAAAAAAAAAAACAAAAAAAAATGAAAAAAAAAAAAAGAGGAAAAACAAGTGGAAAAAAAAAATGAGAGCCACATTCCATTTCTAGCACTTTCGGAGCTCTTTTTCAGTATTCTCTCTCGTGTCTTCTGGGCATCGTCAGATGCGACAGGCAATAATTCTGTTTGTGACACCGGGAACATCCCCTCTTCTTTGTGGCGTGTGTGTTGATTCCATTTTGTCCAGTGCTACCGTCCTTATTCCCCCCTCCTCTGACACAGGCCTCTTTTCCAGAACATTTGTAACTTGTAATACAAACAAGTGACAGCCGCCGTGATACAGTGTCAGTTTCTGAATGTCATCAGGTTCTCATATCTAAACATGTCAAGTTTTTTCCCTGTAACTTCTGTAGTCTGTGATGCTGGTCATAATACTGTCTACATTCCTACGCAAAGAACAACAACAACAACAAAAAATCTATCTTGGAGGAAATCTGAGATCAATAGAGTAGAGGATTTTGTTGCTATGCTTGTAACAAGTAGAAGACTTTGTATTTAAAGTTTATTCTTGGTCATTATTTATTATTATAATACATCAGTTGACAGAACTTTATTCTGGTATAGAAAGTATTAAAAGTTGTTTTTTCAGCAATGACTGTTTTCTTTCTGCTGTTAGAATAAAATGTCTTTGAAGCAGACCGGTTTTATCCAGTGTTTTATGCAATAAAACCTCTACCTCCAGATTAAAAAAAAAAAAGAAAGAAAGAAACATCTTTTTCCTATTTGCTTATGTTTACGATGGAGAGTAAAACATATTTTTCTAGGTCGGTCAGACTTTGGCAAGACTGGGTGAAACACCACGTATAAAAAGTCCCATAATATTGTGTAGTATGGATGATCTTCAGTCTACTTTTTCAAGTTGAATGAGTATCTCTGCAGTGTGTGTGTGTGTGTGAGTGCGCATGTATGTGTGCACATGCAAGTTCATGGATGCACTATACTTTTTTAAGTGTTTGCAGACATTGGTTTCCGTAATGTAAACTTATGAAAATACTTATGCTTCTCATATTAATTATATAAAACACTTAAAGCATTGGGGTCTGATATTCTCCTTTGCTGGTATAGTAAGTTTTTTTTTTCTTTTTTATTTTTCTATAAAAAAAATCATTACGTGCAAGGAAGTCTTTTACCTCCAAATTATCAAAGGAGAGTCTGAATTCTTCCTCTAGAAGAAAAGGAATAGAACAAAGAATAATAAAGTCTATGGTATCAGGGGCTACAGAAAAGCAGATCCCTGACATTGATTTGAAAGGATTTGAAGTGTATGCTCAATGCTTGATGTACAGAGCTTCTTTTTGATTTCTTTTTCTTTTTTTGTGTGTGTGTTGTTTTATTTTGGTCTCAAAAACAAGCTTGTGTAGTGCACGCCGAGGTTCTGGAATATGGAGGGCCCTGGAGTATTGAAAGCACACGCAGCTGCTCATATTCCACAGGAATCTGTAAGCTCACTGTGTTTCAGAGAGTGAGACTATTGGGGTCCTTGGGTGGAAGCAGATGAGTTCAATGACATTGTCATCAGTCTGGACTGCGTGTTATTATGAGCCTCACAGGTGAGTGGAAGGTCACAGTCCTTACTGTTAGGATGAACACATTAGGGAAGAAAGGCTCATGCAGAAGTTTGCAGGAGAGGTCCTCACTTTTGCCCAAACTACATCCATGGTGGGGAATAAACCCACAGGGCCCAGAGAGACATCATGGTGGCAAGGAGAGAAGCCCAAGAAAGACAGGATCTCCTGTGGGCTGAGAGAGCACCTTTTGATATGTGGCATTATGAGGTCCTCGTCACTTAGATTTTTTTTTTTTCTTTTGGTCAAGTCTTCTCATTTTTCCATTTTGGCTCAAATTTTGTTTTAAAAAACTGCAATGGGTGGTGGATGAACAAAGTGTGCTGAATCAAAAGAAAGTGATATTATTCTTCCACAAAAAGGAATAAAGAACACTGAGAAATATTACAACATGAACCTTGAAAACATGGGAAAAAGCCAGTTACAAAAAGCCACATGTAATATGATTTCCTTTCTATGCAATGTCCAGAATAGGCAAATCCATAAGGACAGAAAGAAGATTAGTGGTCATCAGGGGCTTGGGGTGGGGAAGAGTGGAGGGTGACCTCTAATGAAGATGAAGTTTCTTTTCGGGGTGATAAAAATGTTCTAAAATTAGATAGGAATGATGGTTGGCCTACTCTGTGAATATACTAAAACCCACTGAATTGTACATTTTAAGAGAGTGAGTTTTATGGTATGTGAATTATATCTCAATAAAACTGTTATAGAAAATAAAAATAAAATTGGAAGCAGGAGGTATTTTTAAGATACGTATAAGCATCCATATACATACTTCCCATCAACATATTTTTGAGCTAATAGTCATAGACAATTGGAGAATTGACTGATAAATTCAGCACAGTGTGAAGAATACAAAACTTGGGGTGTAATGACCTAAATTTGAGCACTAACTCTACCTACTTATTGGATGCACGATCATGAACAATTTAACTGTTCTGAGTTCATTGATCATATTAGAAAAATTATGAGAATTAAATGAAAGAAGGTGGGGAAATTATGTGCACATTTTGTAAAGTACTCTGCAAATGCTTAGGGTTCCTGACTCCTGTGGCATAGTAAGTTATGGATACATTGGATATTAATTTCATGCCCACAAAAGCTATACACTAAATAAAATCCTCATGCTTTGGAAAGGGTCCTTGTAGTCAGTTGAGTGGAATTCCTCCACACCTGTTTCCTTCAGGTAAGATAAACCTGGAAAAATGTCTTACATTTTTGTTTTCTAATTTCTTCATTTGGAAAGTTGGAGTATTAGTAAGTCTTTTACTATTCTTGAGGGTAGGAGAGAGATGGCTGGGGAAAGAGGGAATCCAAGAAGAAAAGATGGATCTTGGGGTTAGATGTTGTCCCACTAGTTCAACAAATATTTACCAAGGAATTACTATGTGCCAGGCATTGCACTATGAGATAGAGATACATTGTCAATTCAGCCCCTCAAACCACTGTCTAAGGAGAAAACAGACTTTAATAAGATCATCAAATAAATAAATATGAGGGGCTGGGGCTGTAGCTCAGTGTCAGAGTGCTTATGTGTGAGGCACTGGGTTTGATTCTCAGCACCACATATAAATAAATGAATAAAATAAAGGTCCATCAATGTCTAAAAATTATTTTAAATAATATGAACTATCTGGAAGAGGAGATTCAAGGAGAACAGGGATTTCCCAGGTGATGGAAGACTTCCTGCAGAGGCAAAGGCAAACTCAGAGATGAAGGAGAGCTGGCTAGGTGGTGGAAGATGTGCTCACAAAGCCCATGCATTTCTTCAAATCTACTGATTCATCTATAAGTTGGAAAATAACCGTTAACAGCACAAGAGTCTTTCTCAGGTTAAATGAGAGTGTACACAGAGAGCTGTGTGGACAATAAGCTGGATGCCACCAAATCAGAAAGACTATTCTCCAAAATGACAATGGCTAGCAACCCCTGACAAGATGGAAATAGTGGTGTCATTCTACAGAGGCACAGCTTCCTGACCCTGCTCAGGCAAGATAAGAGTCAACGCAACACAATGCATATGACGTCTCCAATAGAGGAACAGGATCTGAGAGGACGTCTGATATCTCTTGCATCTGGGTACCCCAGTCCCCTGGGAAAAAGGAGCAGATAGGAGGAAGTCTCCAGGCTCCAGTGCAGGATCTTCATGCATTCCAGCTGATCCCTCTGTGAGTGACTGGCCAACGCCAATTACAACATCATCTACTGGTGGAGCCCACATAGGGTTTGCCAGGGACCCAGGGGTTTCCCAGGTCATGAGAATTTCAGGGCTAACACCAGGGACATCCTGGAAAAACCAGAATGTTTGATCATCCTAGATCGAAGCCCACTTCTTCTCAGGGCATATGTCTTGGCTAAACCAAAGCCACAGTTGTCTGTGACAGAGGACACCACTGTAAGGCCCATGCAGGGGAGCCATGGGAACAAGGGGTATCAGAGTCATTGGTCAATGTGTAACTTGGCTTAGAATCTTTCTTGCCCTAGTACATTTGCTGCAAAGGATGAAAGGTCACGGCGTACACAGAGTGCTTTTCTTGGGGCCTGGCACATGAGCATCACTTGATACATTCTTCTTGAGTGACTGAACAGACACCCAGGTGAGGAATGGTTCAAGCAGGAATTTCTCTTCCCAGTAACCAGAAGCTGCTGAGCATTAAGATACTGTTTTGTGCTGAGAAACTTTTATAAAGATGATAACCCTGCTGTCTTTTGTAGTTTGGGATTTGCATACTTCCCCATCTCTGTTTAACATCTGTATTGTAACAGTATATTATGAAAACCTCACCTGGTGGGTTGTAAGCACAATCCCAAGGAAATTAGTGTTAAATATTGTGATCTTCATTTCAAGATAGAAGGGCTGGGCACGTTCCACCAAACTAGAGGTATGTTTCCATGGGGAAGGAAAAAATTCATATTGTAATGCAATATTAAAAATGTCGCCCAGCTGAGCATTCCATGTAGGGGCTTGTGCAGAGTTTTAATCTCTTCACCTGTTGGTGTTAAGAGAAAGGAGAGATATTGGTGGAGTGGGAGGGGGAAGCAAAGGAGAGAGAGAAAGAGAGAGAGAGAGAGAGAGAGAGAGAGAGAGAGGGGAAAGGCTTATGTGAACAGGGAAATCACAAGCAAAGAGGAGGGGGAAAATTTAAATGATCCCAGACCGAACTGTTTTGCTGTTAATACAGAAATACAGTGCAAGACACATTTAATGGGCTCTATTTTTTATTATACTATGCTGAATAATTAAGTTTGAGGCTAAGTGTCACATGGATTTATCTTTTAATTAAAAAAGCATGGTTCACGCATATTTGAGTGGTAGTCCAAATAAATGCAATATAGAAATTTATGTTTGTTTATCTAGGTGTTAATTACCTAGAGATTGTTCTGGATTACTTCTTTTTATAAAGTGTCATAGGCTTGTGTCAGAACGAATAAAGCTTGCCCATGGAACCTTATCAATTTGCTAACTATAGTGCTGGCCTGACCTGCCAAGGGGGAGGGGGCAGAGGAAAACTTTGGGGATTGTTATGTATACACAGGCCCCCATTCAACCCACACCAAATAAAACAGTCGTTTTAGAAAATATTCCTAGGACATAAAGGCACAAATATATCTTCGTTGTTTTACAGCCTCTTGTCCACAGCTATTTATAAAACATGTGATTATTTATGCATCGGGTTATGAGAAGTTCGCTGGGAGAGGCGGTGAAGGAGGCTCCATCAATCCAGTTACCTGGTACCCAAGGAGAGGTGGAGGGAGGGCTTCCCTGTAGAAATTGGGCTGGGACAGGAAGTGGGCTGCTGGGATTTGTCTGAAACGTGTCAGCCTGGCTCCTGTTCCCAGACAAGCCAGACCGTGGAGCAAAGAGAGATCGTCAAGCTGAAGGTCAGGGGTCACATTTGTTTGAAACCTAGGATGCAGGTTTGAGGTTCAAGGTACCCCAAAGAAACCTCTAGAAATTGTTCATAGTACCTGGAGGTGGTTCGTGCCTTTTTCCTTTGTTTACAGAGTGATTTTTGGTGGCAGGTTCAGTCAAATGGCTTGGAAGAAACCAGAAACTAAGGTTAAAAGGTT